TGACTAGAAGATCATTGTTTCTACGTTACAGTATGAACATAACACTGTATTCTAATGACTAGAAGATCATTGTTACTAGTTACAGTATGAACATAACACTGTGTATTCTAATGACTAGAAGATCATTGTTTCTAGTTACAGTATGAAAATAACATTGTGTATTCAAACATTACAACTGGAAAATAACATGGCTATCGTGTACGTTGAACTGTCCGCTGTTCATCATCATTTCACGTGCTGGGCACGGATCATCACTTTAGTTTACCCAATCAGAAGGTAATATCTTACCGTGGGAATAACCCTTTAGCTGTAGTTTCTGCTTCCCTACCTGAAGGAGGTATCATCGTGGGGTCGGTCAGGTAGGAAGAGCGTGGAAATCAGGACGAAACATCATACATGATTGTAGCAGCTTGTCACCCTCTAACCTCTTCGGCATGTGGTGAATGCTGGTCAGTTTCCCATAAGAAAGGCGTAGCTTTTGTTTATTATAGAAATAAATAAAACACTTGTACCGATAGGTTCACGTTCTTGCATTACGAAAACCGTTGAAGCTGAATTCTAGTATGTTGATATCGACGAACCTTTAGGTGCAGGCAGCACTGTGGTGATGTTAATGTTACCGGCGACGAACCTTTAGGTGCAGGCAGCACTGTGCTGATGTTAATATTACCGGCGACGAACCTTTAGGTGCAGGCAGCACTGTGGTGATGTTAATATTACCGGCGACGAACCTTTAGGTGCAGGCAGCACTGTGCTGATATTAACGTTACCGGCGACAAACCTTTAGGTGCAGGCAGCAATGTGCTGATGTTAATGTTACCGGCGACAAATCTTTAGATGCATGCAGCACTGTGCTGATGTTAATGTTAAAGTCAGTCTCATATTGCCAGTGGACAGACGGTGAGATACAAGGGTGATCTGATTGGTTACTCAATGACTCACGCTTTTCTTTTTATTAGGTAATCCATATTACCGCTAGGTTTGTTGGTAGTCCATATTACCGCTAGGTTTGTTGGTAGTCCATATTACCGGTAGGTTTGTTGGTAGTCCATATTACCGGTAGGTTTGTTGGTAGTTCATATTACCGCTAGGTTTGTTGGTAGTCCATATTACCGGTTGGTTTGTTGGTAGTCCATATTACCGCTAGGTTTTTTGGTAGTCCATACTATCGCTAGGTTTGTTGGTAGTCCATATTACCGGTAGGTTTGTTGGTAGTCCATATTACCGCTAGGTTTGTTGGTAGTCCATATTACCGCTAAGTTTGTTGGTAATCCATATTACCGCTAGGTTTGTTGGTAGTCCATATTACCGCTAAGTTTGTTGGTAGTCCATATTACCGCTAGGTTTGTTGGTAGTCCATATTACCGCTAAGTTTGTTGGTAATCC